CCCCCCGCTCCTACCCCTATTCCCCTACCGCACTACCCCAACCCCCTACCCTACCACCGTCCCCCCTTCCTACTCCTACCTTCCCTCCTCCCCTCCCCCGATCCTCGAGGCTCCGCGCCCCGATGGATCCCCCCACCCCCCCTTTCCCCAATGACCCTCTCCACTCACCCATACCCCATCTTCCCCCTTACCTCCGCATGGCGACCTGCCCACCTGAAACATTTTAAACATTAATTAATTCGAGAAAAAAAAAATTTAAAAAGCTTATTGAAAAATATGACACTTGACTAAAACTTTAATTTTTATCAATATAATTAGGTTATTGACCAAAAATGTTGATCAATAAAAAATGTTATTTCAAGTTAAGAAAATCAATGTATCCTTGGAAAATAAGGTAAGCTATCACTATTAAGTGAAAAACATTTGATTAGAATTATTAGGTATCTTTAGGAGAATATTATTAAATCAAAATAAAGCTAAAGTTAGATTTATGCAAATAATTACAACTGAAGCAATAAATCGGAAAGAAGTAAAAATCACATTTTTTGGGCTCTGCTGCTGCAATTTAGGCTTTGGCCCCCATCACTGTATATCTCATTCTGTTTCCCTTTCACTCGAATAAGTCTCAATGCGGGTGTCACATACAAAGAAAAATGAAAACACATCAAAATTATGATTTTAAAACTGAAGCATATCATGTAAACTACGTGTCAAAGGTACAAGCAGTTGGATGCAACATTTACCAAGGACAATACCCCATCAAACAAGCCAATCTTTACTAAACATCTCCAGCACCCAGATCGCATCTGTTTACGAGTGGGCTGTTCATCACATTCAGTACTCATGCCTCTCCTCCTGCACAACAAGAGGTCAAATACAGTGGGAAATTATTATGTCATTCTCAAAATTCAACTACCGCTAACATTATCACTATCCATTATGTACTGATCTACCAAGTATCTTACAACTGCTCTCTTATGAGTGTAAGTAGCACCGCCAAATCATATGGTCCAACTACGCAAAGAAAAATAGGAAGTGATCTATTCTTCTTATTTAACATTTTCTTTTTATGTGACAATTAAAATAACAGCACCAAACCATCCACCTGCTTCAGAAGATAGGTTAAAATCCACTTCAAATAATAATTCCCTAACTAATGGCTCAATTAAAAAGTAAACTGACACAAGTTTAACAGAAGCCAAAATATATCTGGACTAGAACCACATTAACTTACAAATATAATCATAAGCAAGCGAGATTGAGACTGCACTTAACAACAATAACATGAAATACGTAATACTAGCGACAATACCAATAAACTAGAAATAAATACTGCAAACTACAAGCGATACAAGCAATCCAACCAGTGATGCAAGAGCAACACTCTGCATGTGAAACGCAAAACTCTCCAGTAAAAGAGATGAGGTCCTAGACAAAACCTGATTGATTTCCAATTGCACCCTCATTACCAGCATAACCCCCATAATAACTAGCAGGTCCACCAGCAGCAGCGACAACATTTGCAGCACCCAAAGGGGAAGTATATCATCTACTTCTCCTGTATATTGGACATATGCAACCCATCTTACACCTGTATAACAGGTAGGCTTCTCTTTCACTTGACAAGACGAAGTTGACTCGATGGATATCCTTTCTACCCCTTCAGTTCGCAAAATTTAAACATATCCACTACTGCAATATTTAATGAAATCCCCAAAAAAGTTGCAACCAAAGGCTCCCTATAGATAAATGCTAGAGCTTCTCTATTACCTAGCTAGGCAGGAGGAGCAGAGAAAGGGACGGTGATGTTAAAGATCGAAAGAAAATTTGTTCGGGAATATTTTAAGACGTGGTGTTGGGATTTTATCAAGTTCAAAGTAGTCAACTAAAGTGAACGAATAGAATAAAAGAGTAAGTTGGATTAGTTACTAACATCGAGCTTTTGTGGAGCTTAGTTACTAACAGAGAGCTTTTGTGGAGCTTGAATCTCTACTATGAACTCAACGCAACAAATCACCAATATGTTTGAAGCAAGAATCCTAGTAGCAAGAACATAATTCTTGTAAAGGATTCTGAAGCCAAAGATTCCATTGATAAACAAAAAAAAATTCAATCCGTTATATGCTTAAATGAGGGAATCAAAGAAAGACAGATCAACATGTAACTTGGTCTTTAAACACTACCAAAAGAAAGTTGTTTTCCAGCGCCAGTGTAAGCAGAATACATGATTGTTTAAAGCTCAAACTTGGGAAGTTTCGGGTAAATAAACTCAGGTTTGTTCAATCAGTAAGATCGATACAAGATCACATAAAAAATAGATGAAAGAGACATCTAAATTGAAAATTTTGGAAGTCTGCCATGATTCTCACACAAACAACAAACCAGGGAAATCCTAACTATGAACGACTGTGATAAAAAAAAACTTAATGAAATTCTACCGACATGGTCAGAATCGGATGTATATAGCATATGGTCCTTTCAACGCATTGAATAAGTTTATATATGAATTTCCATGAACATTGCAACAAATAGTAGATACGAACCTATAACTTCAAAGATAAATAAGGTTCAATCCTCAGAATCTTAAATTTTGATCACTTCAACTTAAATCCCCGAACACAGATGCATTTTCATGTCAAACAAACAAAACACAGATGAAAACGCCAAATTGGATACAATACAAATTTTATAGCAACTTCTTCGTATGCCCTAACTCAAAAACAAAAAAATCAATCTTCAAAATTCAAATGAAATCGAACAAAATCAGTTTTGGGTATTGAAAAAACCTCAAGATTAATATGCTTAAAACTTACATATTTGATCAATTTGCCGAATCACACACACAATTTGCGAAATTCAATCCATTATATGCAATGAAGATCGACAAACGAGTAAATCAAAATCTGAGAAAGAAGCTTGATGAAAACCCTGATTTTGGGAGAAAAAAACGGTCTCAAATTTTGAAAAGAAGCGAGTTTGTATGTGTAACGGTCACATTTGGGCTGAAAATATAAATATAATTATTATTATATCCAAATAATAAAAAAAATAACAAAACAAATGGATCAAACGGCGGCTAACAAATATCCAATTTTGTTTTTTATAATATTATCTTTATGCATATTACATTTATCATGATCTTAATTTTATGAATTTTCAAAAATTTATTATAACTATTTTAAGTGAAAATTATTGAATTTTACATATTTAATAAATTTATTAATATGAATACATTGTTTAAACAGTCTAAAGAATTTATCTGAACTCAGAGCTTCCTAGCTAGCTCCGCCTCTCCGGTGACATTTGAACTCCAAAAAAAAATTCTTGGAAACAAATCCTAGTGAATACTTCTAAACAGGTTTATTTGATTGTTTTTCAATTTCTATTTAATTTGAATTCATATTACATAAGGCTTATTAAAGGAAACTTCTTAATAGAAATTTTTTTCATATCTAAAACTCAAACTCAAAACTTATAGTGATAAAGATAATCATTATTATAACACAATTGTGTGGTTAATTAATTGATTGCAAATTGAATGATAAGAGGTGAATAAAAGACTTACAATGACAAATTTGAGATGCACCAAGTTTAGTGGACTTTACACCAAGACCGATCTATTTATATTTAGATCAATAAAAACTTGGGATCCAAAATGGAGATACTTACAAAAGTCCAATCTAAACAAACATGTACAACATTGGGCCAGGCATAGAATCCATGTATCTTGGACCAATTATCCATTTTAGGAACTAGGGCCCCAAAACTAAAATGGGCAAAGAGTACAGATATTTCATTTTTGAATCGTCATTTAATTTAGGATAGTTCGCACAAATGTCTTATTTCGGAGTGGTTCAAATTTATGCTTTTTTTCATTAAGAAAAAAGTGTCGATTCAACAACTTAAATAACGAAAGAGTTGTCGAAGATATTCCGATATTAAAATGAAAAAGAATGTGAAGCTTAAATTTATATTTTTACAGTATAATATCTCAAAATGTATATGGTCAAGATATGATAATTTTGGTTGTATTATATAATTTATGTTGAGCAAGGCAAAAGTGCTAAATATACATACATATTAGTATTTATGAAAATCAATATTGATATTGTATTAAAGGAGATTAATTTTGTGCACGATAGTTCAACAATGTAATTTATAAGACCTGACAACGTACTAGAGACTGATCTAAAATTTTTAATTTATTGATTTTGATATACAAACTTTTATTTATTTTGAACATCACTATTTCTAAAGATTATTCAAATTTTATGTCTCCTCCAACTACATAAACTATAAAAAGGGATAAATCAAAGAATTGATTAAGTCAAGATGTAGTAAAGCCATGTGACATGAGAAGCGCTTGCAATTGCAATAATAGCCATATTCAAATATGGTTTGATTTTTTTTCCTTCACTAATTAATGAGGCTAAGTCAAATTGATTTTATTAAATTTTTCACTTTTCTTTACAATATGTTTTTATATTAAAGAACGATTTTATTTCGATTGAAATAAAAAAAAATCAATTGTTAAGCTCTTAAATAGACTCCACTAAAGCTATTGAAACTCATTTTTCTCAAAAATTGGATGAAATTTTGACATCTATTGTTTATTTTCTACCAAGTAACTTTAAATAATCAAAATTTGTACGAAGAAAAATCAACTTTAAATTGGTTTAGATCAAATTAAAGGTAACATATATGCATGAAAATTTCATCTCTTTATACTTAATCATCTTTTTCTCTTATTCCACAAATCAAACGAACTCTAAATTTAATAAAAATATATCTTGACAACCACACCACTATTTATTTATTCTTTCCACACATTTGGACGCTATAATGAATTACATATAATTAATATCTTTATCGTTGATTTATCCTTTTTGTCTTTTTGCTTTGTTGACTTTAATTTTTGTGAAATAATCAACTTAGATTCTTCACGATCGAATAGACGTTGGATTAGGTTTATGCAAAATGGTCCAACAATATGCAACAATAGAGACTTATCTAAGATTTTCATTATATATATATATATATGCGCAAACTCATCAGAAAAAAATGTTATATAAATAAACGAAGAACTTGATAACGAAGCTACATGATGCATTCCAAGAAATTTCACAAAAATAAAAGCTATATAGATATAAACTATAATTAACATGTACGCCCTATAGTTTGAAGCAGCCAGTGATGTGATCAGCCTGAGATCGATCTTATTGAAATATATATATTTTTGTCCATTTAATTCGAAACATATCTGAACACTTTGACAAGTTAAATTGACCCTCTAACTAATTAATTCTCCTTGTGAACGATAAACTTGCAAGATCTTGTTAAAATATTCTGATTTCCATCGTTTTAAATTATTTATCAAATTTTTCTTTTACACGTTCTTTTAAAAAATATTAGTTATCAAAAGTTTTTAATAATATCAAACTTATTTATGTCTTAAGATAAAATTGCACCT